TACAATGCTATTGCAAGAGGTTGTGATTTGAAAAGAGTATTGTTCTTACCAATGTCATAAATATAGGTTTATAATGATTATAGTGGTATAGTGACATTTTTATCTTTTGCTTTGCCAAACAAAATAAATTTGATTTGTAAGTTAAACAAATTTATCTATGGTCTTAAACGAATTTCTGAGTAATGATATTTAAAGGTTCACCATATTATTACTTGGCTTTTTGGATAATACTATTAATTTATGCATAAATCTCAAGGTCAGTGGGAGCAATTTATTTTTCTTGATCCTTTATACTGATGGAATTTTACTTCCTAGTAATAATTTCAAATTAATACTTGATGTGAAGCTATTGTTGTTAACAAATTTTTTTATATAAAATATCTTGATAAAGTATTTTATGTGTTTGGTATTGAGATACTTGAAAAATAACTTAGAAGATTATTTGTCTCATCTCAAAGAGCATACCTAGATCAAATTTTTACTAAAATTTAATATGCAAAATTGAAAGCTTTACATTGCTCTTCTTAGTGATCGAGACTAATTAAGTAACACTCAATATTCATAAAATGATTTTGAGAAAGAGTTCACGAGAAATGTCTCGTATGCTACTGTTGTAAGAGTTTAATAAATTATGAAGTTTGGATTAAACTTGGTGCGTATGTAATTAGTTTGTTAGACAATTATTATTTTAATTTAAACCTTGACCATTGGGTTGGAACATATAAAGTGTTATGATATTTATAGAGAATTAAAGATTATACGATTGTCTATAAAAGAATTAATCATGTTAATATTATTGGTTGTACTATGTCGACTTTGGTAGTTGCTCAAATGATATAGTATCTATTATTGATTATATTTTTATGTTTGCATGAGGTGTTGTTTCATGAAAGAGTTTTATAAAATCTCTTATAATTTTTACTATGCAACATCAATTAAAGAATTTTATTTCAGAGCTTGGAATTGTTAATTTTATTTCCAAACCTATAAAGATGTATTATGATATATGGTTTTAATTTTCTCTATAAAAAATAACAAAAACTCTGATGGTGTTAAATATATAAATTTAAAGTACTTCAGAATTAAAAAGTTGTTAAAGATGATATTCTTTATGAGCACATATTATAGAATACATACTAGTTGATCCTCTAAATATAGGGCTTAGGCCAAATTTTAGTTTGCTAAATATATTGAGCATATGGGTACTTTACAGGTTTTTATGTGCTTGGTTAAAGAAATTTTTTACCCATAAATATTATCTATGGTATATTTCAATTAATAAAGTTTAATGTGTTTATTCACATTTTGTTTATAGTTATGTGTGTACACATAAATGGTAATTGTCATATATGTATGCCTTTTACATGAGCTCTTATAGTTATATTTTAATTTTGGGATATAAAGATTAACACTTTGTTTTAGAAGTGTATATGGATCCATAAAGTATGATGCTTGGTTTAAAGCACGAAAGACCTCAGTTTAGAGGAATAAAAGTTTCTTTTGGAAGTGTAAAATGGAATAAAATTCCTTGTAGGGTATTGTCAAGACCATACAGAGGACTGAATGTGGAATTAGCATGTTATATAATTTTTGGATCAATTATGTTGAAATTCCACACTACACTTTATCACATATAGGAATCCACGTCGGTGAGATATTAGTGTTTGTAATTGTGGAAGGTGTTATGTTGTTCAATAACATAATTACCGCTACAGTTCAATATTAATATTTTTCATTGAACGGGATTTTGTGCTGAGATATTCTATTCTGAATCATGTTTATGTGGCCACTAAAGTTGTTTAACCCGAGAGTCATTTTTTCTTAAATAAAATATTCTCTTAAAGTAGTAGTTAATGTTGCCTAAGTGTGAGAATGTAAGAATTTATTCTTAATTAGGCTGTCATTGACTATATTTTGCTTGGTTTGTGAAAAACGGGTTGAACGTGATTCAGATAGATTGACTGGTATGAACCCAAAATTATTATTGTCACTACTAAAAAAAACACTTTTTGCGACCATCACATGCCGTCGCAAATAATAAAAATACAGTCGCAAAAGACTTTTTGCGACGGTCTATGCGACCGCACATGAGGGACGCAAATGTGGGGGTGGCAAATACTTTTTGCGACGGCAAAACAACGGTCGCAAATAATTTGCGACCGCCCAAACTACTTTTTGCGACAGTCATTTTGCCGTCGCAAAAAAATTTAAAAAATTAAAAGCACTTTTAGCGACCATTGTTTTATTGTCGCAAATAATTATTTATTAAAAAAAAAAACGGGTTGAACGTGATTCAGATAGATTGACTGGTATGAGCCCAAAATTATTATTGTGATCCATAAAGTTTGGGCCATGGTCATCTTAGTGTATATATTATTTTATACGTGGATATGTGATATGGAGGTGTAAGGCCTGTTTTGAGTTATTTGAGTTCCTTAATGGGAGGACCCAATAATTGTTTTATTTAGGCCCAGTCCCCTCTCCTATCCTTATTAGGGTTTACATATATTTATATATATGTAGATCAAGGGTTGTCAGCTCAATTGAAAAGACAACAAAAAGATTAGGAGAAGGAGGGGAAAAGCTGGTGCTAAGGTTTTCCAATTATGAATGCCGTATTTTTTCAAGGAAGCAAAACTCAAGACAATAACGGAATCAGACGGTATGTATATGAGTTTATATTTAGTAGTTACTTATATTCATAGTGTTTAAATTTCTAGTATATAAATCCTATAATCTTACATTAAATTCAAACCTCAAGAAGTGTTAGTGTAATTTAACCTTTTTTTTTATAAATTTTTGTAGTCACCTCTCACAATGTAACCTATGATGTGCGATTTAATTCTCCTGCCGCATAATATGTGTGTGATTCATGATGAGAGTGACCGGCTGTTTCCATGTCACGCTTCAACATGAAAATTTCACGTTATTTTTAATTTTTTAATTTTTAATTTTTAATTTTTTTAATGTAGAATCTATTATAAATGTTGTATATGTGGCCCAAAATGATATTTTAGTCTTTTTTGTAAATAATTTTTTTTTTTTTTTTTAAATTTAAATTTTGAAGTGATAGGGGTTCTAGGTAGCTTTTTTTCTACAAAATTTTAGGTGATAACCAAACCAAACCAAACCAAATATTTCGATTCTTTCCATTTCATTTTATTTCAAATTCTAGTGGAATTGACTTTCTTTTTAAAAAAGGAGAAAAAAAAAAAAAAAAAAACTGCAATGGATTGTGTTTGATGTAATTTTTTACAAATTAAAAGTAGACCGTCAAACAAGGAAGCTAAAAACATTCTCATTTTCTTTGTCTACTTCCTCGATCACCCTGATTAAACTGCAAAATTAATGACATTTTAATCTAAAAAATGAGAGTATGGTTATTTAATTGCAACCCATGCATGCCAATGATATTACAAAGGCAATGTTAGGTAAATAATTAATTGCAAGCATTAACACTCTTCATTTTAAACAACAACCAGGATCTAATTTTAGGTTGTCCTATCTAGCTCTCCTAAATTGTTAATGGCACGTGGCTTCACATATCTATTTTTAAAAATCACTTAAAATTCATTAATTGGCTAAAAGTAGTAAGGAGTGGCATTAACGTGCATTTGAAGTTAGGTTTTAAAAAATTAGTGGTTCAATATTCAAATATATTCTCTTCAAAATGCAAGAATATAATGAGTACTATTTTTCTTTGAATTGCGTAATCTTTTATAACTTTCTATTGAATTTTAAAAAAAAAAAATACAAAATGGCGCTATTTAAAATATATCAAAGACCTAAACTCAGAAGAAGATGATAAGAATTTAAATAATTGAAAATGATAAGAATCAAAGTTCACTTTGTGATGAAAAGCATGATAATTCATCAGATAATATGATGAAACTTAATAGTGTTTTAGGTTATTTATTTATATTTTTATATATATTAATTATTTTTTAATGAATTTTCGTGCATAATTATATTGTTCTTTATATTTATTTCGTTTTAAATCAAAACACTCATCATTTTAATGTACAATTTTTAAGAGCATCTTCAATATCTTATCAATTTCAAATTTGATAAAAAAAAAAAATAGTTAAGAGTGTTTTCAAAATCAAAATCCCTCAACAAATCTTGAAACTTTTTACTCAAATTTAATAAATAGAACATAAAAAGTAAGAATTTAAAATGATTTTCTTTCATAAAAAATGGTTAAAACAAATTTTAAGACTACGTTTGGGAGTTTTTGAAAAGATTTGATGAATAAAAGTGTAACAATTAGATTGTTCCATTTTCAAAAAAAAAATAAATAAAGGAAGAAAGAAAGAATTTTAAAATGTTGTTTCAAAATTTTAAAATTAGTGCAGCAGAATCATTCCTTTGTAATCATAATTGAAAGAATTTAAGGGACCAAAATTTGGAAAAATTCGTTGACAATTTGGGATATTATTATTTAAGTTAAATATCTGAAGGACCTTATTATCATGATTATTTATTTAAATGGGAAACAACATTAAAGGGGTCCACAAAAAAGATCTGGTGGGTGCATGCACATGCAGAGAGATTGTATCATCAACAACCATACCCCACCATTTAGGGACATCATCACAATGTTGCCTAGGACATCACATGGTTAAATTTTGTAGAGGTAATTACACCCCCTAGAATTAAAATACCGATCCCGCTACGTAGCTCGAAAGGCATGACTCGAGAGTGGCTCGAATTGATGAATTTGCTGCTTTGCTACGCGGGATACACCTTGTTCTGTTTTGATTTGAAAAACAAAACAAAAACGAAGTGGGAGAGGACTATAAACCTCAGGGGGCAAATTGTTATAAAAATACAAACCTCAGGGGGCGGGATGTAATTTCCGAAACCTCAAGGGGTATCTGTAATTTAATCAAACCTCGAGGGGTGTATATATAATTTGCCCTTAAATTTTGTAGAGGTAATTACACCCCCTAGAATTAAAATACCGACCCCGGTACATAGCTCGAAAGGCATGACTCGAGAGTGGTTCGAATTGATGAATTTGCTGCTCTGCTACGCGGGATACACCTTGTTCTGTTTTGATTTGAAAAACAAAACAAAAACGAAGTGGGAGAGGACGAAGTAGGAGAAAGTTTTTGAGCACCGTGTCGTCGTAACCTAGCGGAGCCATGTGGTCGCTGCTGTTGCTGTTTGATTGGAGTGGGAGAGGAGAAAGTTTGTGTGCAAATCGGAGTCTCCACTGACTTCGAACCGGTCTGTTCATAATCGAGCGAACCGTCTCTTTGTGGCGTCGCTACTGCTGTTTGATCGGAGTGGGAGAGGACGAAGTTTGTGTGCAAATCGGACTCTTCACAGTTGTAGATAAGGTATTTCCTCTTGGCGTTTTATTTCCCCTTGTGCCATTCCTCTTCCATTGCTTTGTCATTGTTGCTGCCATGGTTGCCATGGCTGGTAGCTAAACTAAACTGAACTGCCATGGTTGATCAGACTAATTAAGTAACAAGCCTTCAATTCTCTCTCTCTCTCTCTCTCTATCTGATTTTCCAATCTTTCTTGATTTCTTTCTTTCTATTTCGGTGCTCCTGCTTAATGCTTAATGCTTTTGTTCTTGGTTTATTCACGAATAATAAAATATGAATTCAAACCATGGAATGTTGGGGGCTCCTTAGCATGATTTTGTGTTCTGTGAACTTGCATTTATTGATCGATTGTAAAATGGGAAGCTTTATAAAGTGAGATTAAAATGGTTGAAACAAAATGTTAACCAAATTGGTGAAATTAAAGGACAGTTCCAAGACCAACTATCACTGCAATGTAAAAGGAGGGTTACATATGTGGGATGTCTGTATGTTAGTAATATATATTTTTTTTGACATCAATTTTTTTTTGGTTTTTTGACATCAAATTTCATCATATGTATTAGTAATCATATTTTTTTGACATCAAAATTTGCACTTTCAGCTGATATTAGTATTAGTAATCATATTTCCTCCCTGAGTTGATATTAATAGTGTTATAAGATTATAGGTAAGATGAATGTAAAAAAATTAGCAGATTAAGATGTGGTTGCTCATCCATGGCATGGCTGTCCTTAGTTGACCCTTTGTTTTAAATGCAAATTAAAATTAAAATTCATTCTACTTGCTTTGAAATTGCAGCTAACAATGTCTATTGTATTTAACTTTGAAGCTACAATGGATATTGATTCAAACAATAATTCATTGAATGGGAGTGAGGAAGTTAAAGAACAGGATAACAATCTTGATATTAACGAAATTGGCGAAGTTGAAGAACCCAAGAAGGGGATGTATTTTAGCTCAAAACAAGAATTGTACGCATTTTATGCACAATATGCGAAACACTGTGGATTTGCTATAGCTTTTAGATCACAAAATCTAACAACTGATGGGGAAGCGAAGTACTTTGGAATTGAATGTACTCGGGCGAGGTTGAGAACAAAAAGATCATAAATCAATCCCTTGGAACCATCTTTGTCATCCAAAATTGATTGTAAAGCAAGGGTCAGAGCTAGTCTACAAAACGATGGCAGATATAAGTTAACCACAGTTGTGCTTGAGCACACTCATGATTTAATTCCTACAGACTCACGACATTTTGCAATGAATAAGAGGATTCGTACTCCGGTCAAGAGAAGACTAGAAGTGAACGATGCAGCAGGGATTGGGATGGCGAGGAATTTTCATTCCATAGTTGTTGAAGCAGTGGGTTATGAGGCATTAACATTTGATGAACGAGATGTAAGGAATTATATTGAGAATGCTAGCAGATTGAGACTTGGGCTAGGAGACGCCAAATCAGTTACACTTTATTTCCATAAAATGTAACAACAAAATTCAAACTTCTATTCGGCAATTGACCTTGATGAAGATGCTCGCATGCGAAACTTGTTTTGGGCAGATGCAAGGAGTAGGGTGGCTTATAAAGTATTAGGGAATGTTGTCTCATTTGACACAACCTATTTGACAAACAAGTATGATATGCCATTTGCTCCGTTTGTAGGAGTTAATCACCATGGACAGTCAATCTTGTTTGGATGTGGGTTATTATCTAATGAGAACACAGAGACATTTGTGTGGCTATTTAAAGAATGGTTAAGTTGCATATCAGATGCTCCTCCAAAAGCAATAATAACTGACCAGTGTAGAGCTATGCAAAATGCCATAGAAATAGTTTTCCCATAGGCTCGACATCGTTGGTGCTTATGGCATGTGATGAAGAAAATTCCAGAGAAACTAAGAGGACATTCACAATATGAAGGCATAAAGGTTGCTTTGCAAAATGCTGTTTATGATTCATTGACGAAAGATGAATTTGAGGGAAATTGGCTTACAAGGGTTACAAAATTCAATTTGAATGATAACGAGTGGTTAGGGGTATTATACCATGAGCGACATAGGTGGATTCCTGCCTATGTGAAAGACATATTTTGGGCTGGCATGTCAACTACCGGTAGAAGTGAGAGCATGAATGCATTTTTTGATGGATATGTGAACTCGAAGACTACCTTAAAGCAATTTTTTGAGCAATATGACAATGCCTTGAGAAGTAAGGTGGAAAAGGAGACAAAAGCAGATTTCAAATCTCGTAACCAATTGTATGATTGCCTAACGGTATATCATTTTGAGAAGCAATTTCGTGCAGCGTACACAAATGCAAAATTTAAAGAAGTTCAAGCAGAAACGAAGCGTTTAGTGTACTGTCGTCCGAATCTTGCAAAAGATGAGGGATTAATTTGTACGTATCATGTGAGGGAGGCTATTCTTTTGGGTGAAGGTATGAAGAAAGTAGAATTTATCGTGTACTGTAATTCAACTGAATGTGAGCTCCAATGCATGTGTTGGTTGTTTGAGTTTAGAGGTATTATGTGTGCCTATTCACTTAGTGTACTCATTGAGAGGTCCATATATGAGGTGCCACATAAATACATTGTCTCGAGATGGAGAAAAGATTTGGAACGAGGGTATACATGCATTCCAACCACATATACTAACTTCGGGGCTGCTATAAATCCAAAGTTGTATGATTCATATCACAAGACGTTAGATGAGATCCTAGAACTTGCCACCAATGACGATGCCAAACACAAAGTGATTCAACTTGGGTTGAGGGAAATCATGGATCGAGTGAAAACTATTGAATCAGCTACTGCGAGTAATGTGCCATGTACTAGTACTGTACCACCTTCTACAGGTATTGTACCACCTTCTCATACTTCGCCGAAAAGTCCGCCACGTCTGAATACTACAAAAACAAGCAACACTCGCAAGGTACTCAGTCCTTTGGTTGTTCGCCGAAGAGGGCGTCCATGTACGAGGCGGAAGGTTAGCAAGGTTGATCAAATAGTTAATCGGTTGAAGATAAAGAACAAAAAGACTACTCCCATACAGGTAAATACTTGGCAGAGGTTGTTTCGTAACCTTTTTGTTGATTCATAGTTGAATGGTTACAATTAGTAATGAAATTGTGTTACTATTTCATATAGGTGCTGGAAGATGAAACTTACTATTTTCCTTCTATGGTTGGCACACAAGATAGTATGTATGTTCCGGTATGTGTTGAATGGACTTAAAATATTGCACTTTGCTTCTTGTTGGGTTTTATGTTAATGCTTCAAATTATTAATAACATTGTCTTACTATATAATCATAAGGTGCCGCATGATGAAGCTTACTATTTTCCTTCTATGGTGGGCACAGAAGACAACATGTCTGTACCGGTACATGTTCAATATATGAGTACACATTTGTAATGATTAATGTATTGGTCAATATTTTTTAAAATCATTTTGTAATATGTACTTTGTTTTTATAGGCACAGGGTTGCACAATGGAAACGTCGGACAATATTGGAAGCACATCAAGAATGGTCAACAATCTAAGCAGTCAAAGTTCTACAGTACCATCACTATTGGATCCAAATGCCCCATTTTATTTTTAATGTAATACACTGTTCAATGTCTGTTCAATGTAATACACTGTTCAATGTCTCATTTGATCTGTTTGGTTCAATTAGACAGGTAAACAAGTTTAATGTTTGTGTTCTACTATTTTTGTCTCCTTTGATAAACAGGTTCAATGTCTTTGTAAACAGGTTCTGTTCAATGTAATACACTGTTCAATGTCTCCTTTGATCAATGTCTGTCTGTTTGTCTCCTTTGATCAATGTCTGTGTTCTTAAAATTTGTTCTGTAAAATTTGTTCAATTACTGGTCTGTGTTGTTGCAACAAATAAATATGTTGTTGGTCTGTTTTGTTCACTACACAGGTTCAACTGGATAGGTTCAGTTGCACAGGTTCAGGTTCATCTAGATAGGTTCACTACACAGGTTCAAACAGACCAAAATGAGTACACATTAGACTCTGTGAATTTGTGAAAACCTGTGTGAATTAGTTCAAACCTGTGTGACTGAAACCTGTTACAACAGACCTGTCTGAATTTGTTCAAACAGACCCACAAACATGGAGACAGATGTATCTGAATTAGACTCTGTGAATTAGTTGAAACCTGTGTGAATTTGTGTAAAATTGTTGAAACCTGTGTGACTAAACCTGTGTGACTAAACCTGTTCAAACAGACCCAGAAACATGGAGACAGAATGGTTACAATTAGACTCTATGAATTAGTTAAAACCCGTGTGAATTTGTGTAAAATTGTTGAAACCTGTGTGAATTTGTGAAACCTGTATGACTAAACTTGTGTGACTAAACCTGTTCAAACAGACCCAGAAGCATGGAGACAGATGCATCTCAGACTCTGTGAATTTGTGAAACCTGTGTGACTAAACCTGTTCAAACAGACATAAGTGAAACTTGTGTTCAAACAGACCCAAATCAATAAACCTGTGTTCAATCCAACAGGCCTGTGTTGCAACCAACATACCTGTGTTCAAACAGACCCAAAACAATAGACCTGTATGTTATGATTGAAACCTCTGTTCAAACAGATCCAGAACAATAGACCTGTGTTCAATCCAACAGACCTGTGTTCAAGCCAACAGACCTGTGTTCAATGCAACAAACCTGTGTTCAAATAGACCCAAAACAATAGACCTGTGTTCAAGGCAACAAACGTGTGTGCAAATAGACCCAAAACAATAGAGACAATTACTCCGTGTGTATGCATCTCATCTCAAGACCAAACCTGACCCAACAAATAGAAACCTGTTGAACAAATGTGTACACTTCTAATGACTTTCAACCTGTTGAACCTGTATATCATGACTTTCAACAAATAGAAACCTAACTTTCAACCTGTTGAACAAATAGAAACCTATTTTTTAAAACCTGTATATCATGACTTTCAACCTGTGTGTACACTTCTCATTCAAAGCATCATTAATAATGCTATATTAGTGTATCAATGGTTCTCATTCAAGCCAACAGATTTCAGAATCTATAAACATTGATATCCAAATCATTATTCAGCCTTATGTCATGGCTAACATATCCAATGCTTCCAAAATACAAAATATAAAACAAAATAAAATAGAAAATAAAGATAGTAGGCAATATTGATTACCAAATAGAACATATAAAATAAAATACAAAAGAAGTACTGATTACATTCATAACATTGTCCAAAACGTAACAACTGATTCATTTATACACGATAAAGTAAAAAAATACACAAAATACAATGACATAAGTCATTGCCTTCAAAATCTTCTCCAGCCTTTGAAGCCTTCTATCATGCTCATCAGGCCTTCTCCTCAGATCATTAATTTCTTCTGTTCTTGAATCTGTCTAAGGTCCAGCGTTGGCACGGATTGTGGAGGTAATGTCGTCGTCATCGTCATCATCTGCGAACCACCTGAAGTAATTGCAGTGTTCATTCGCAGTCTACAATGGACAAGAATCAGTTAATCAATAAAGAACAAATGAAATTTGTAAAAAGTAACAGATTCATTTATATAACAGGTACTTACATATTTTCTTGGGCAAACAAAATAGACACGCCCTTCATTTCCATTCTCATTGGTTCGTACAATACGCATGGAAGTTGTTCTTCCACAATTACAAAACCTTGGCTTTAATCTTAAGTTCGTATTATTAGTAGAAGATGAAGCCATTTTTTTATTTGCATAAAAAATACCAACAGATTCAACTACCGATTAGTAGAAGATGAAGTTCTTCATATTTTTTTTATCTCTCAAGCTGTTTTACCTATTAGTAGAAGATGATTCATCTATACTCTACTGTAAATAAGAAAGAAAGCAAACAAACACTAGGAATCCTGTAAATAAGAATCAGATTATGATGCCAAACTCTTCTTTGTATTACTCAATAGTGATTCTTGGTCTTTCATGTTTTGCCTTTCCAGCAGTCTTAGGGCTTTGGAAATTCAAAATGATTCGCTACACTGTGCAGCACAGCTGTAACTCAGCAACAACCAAAGTTTACACCATTTCCTCAATATTTTTCTATGCAATCTGAATTGATTAGGCTAAAACAATTTCTTTTTCACTTGCATTTCCAAAACACTCAAAAAGATGGATTCCTAGTGTTTGCCTATTCCTAGTGTTAATGGCTGTTAACCTGTGTTCTTAACAGCCATTAACATCTGGTGCACCTATGTTCTTAACAGGTTTCTGAAATTCACTCAACATACACAGGTTGCTGAATTTAAATTACAGGTATAAAGGCAGGTATAAAGGCACACTTAAATCAAAAAATTGAGAAGTCATATACATGTATAAAGGAAAATCCCAGGTATAAAGGCAAATCCCAGGTATAAATTGAGAAGTCATTTAAATTTCAATTTTTCAAAATACACAGTGTTCAGTGTGCAGAATGTGAACACAGAGTTCATTCTTGATCATAGGTATAAAGGCAAATCCCAGGTATAAATTGAGAAGTCATTTAAATCTCAATTTTTCAACATACACAGTGTTCAGTGTGCAGAATGTGAACACAGAGTTCATTCTTGATCACAGGTATAAAGGCAAATCCCAGGTATAAATTGAGAAGCCATTTAAATTTCAATTTTTCAATATACACAGTGTTCAGTGTGCAGAATGTGAACACAGAGTTCATTCTTTATCACAGGTATAAAGGCAAATCCCAAACCCTAACATATCACAAATTAAAGCCAAATCCCAAACCCTAACACAAATAGCAAACAAAATCCAATTCCAAACACTCTCAATCAACTAATTTCTACAAAAATTGAAACAAAACGTAAACCCTAACTTTGTGATTTCAGGTTTACCTCAAAAAGCAAAATGTAAACGCAGGCTCCCGTTCGTCCTCCGTCGTGGTTCGTCGTCCTCCGTCCTCCATCCTCCGTCGTGGTTCGTCTGCCTATGCCGTCGTTCGTCCACCGTCTCGTGAGAGAGGCGAGAGTGAGAGAGAGGTTTGTTAAGAGTGAGAGAGGTGAGAGAGGCGAGAGTGAACTGCTAAAGCGGAGAGGCGAAGAGATCCAGAGGAGAGAGAAATTTAAAGTTTCGAGCCATTCGAGCCCGAAACATTCGAGCTACGGATCATTTTCGTTAAAATACATCGGGAAAATTATAAAAATAAATTTTAGACTATGTTTGGTGGAGTTCTAGAACGTTAGTTTCGGAGCTTAATTTGAACATAATATTTATTTACGATTTTCAAAAATTAATTTCACACTCACTTTTGAAAACGCGGTCGAACGCAGGAAAATTTGGACTAACCAGTCGACCGGAGCAGTGTAATTTTTTTTCTGTAATTGACACATGTTAATTTTTATATATTCAATAAAAAATATTTTCTGATTTTTTTAAAATTTTTTATGAGCTTTAATAGAATTTTGAGTTGTGTGTTTGGTTATGAGTTGTAAGTTTTTGTATTAAATATCAAATGCCACATCAAAAATTTCTCACTCAATTAAAAACTCTTTTCAAAACTCATTCACCAAACAAATTTTTCACACTCAAATCATAATTCCAAAACTCATAAACTCAAAATACAACTATATTTTCAAATCATATTTAAAAAACTCTAACAAACGCAACCTTAAGGTTTCGCGTGTTTTGTAATGTAAACTCCATGTTTTTTATTTTGACAATTAAAACCTTGGAGTTTATTATGTGTTACAATGTAAGCCCCCGTCCATCTTCATTTCATATAGTAACAGAAAAAGCCATTTTTGACACCAAAACCAACTCAAAACGACGTCGTTTTTTATTAACCCTATATAAAAGGCTCCAAATCTTTAACTTCATCGATTAGGGCTGAAATTTGCCCCAAATACAAAACTTTGCTTATCCTCTCGTCGTCTTCTTCACTTAACTCTGTTCTCTTTCTCTAGTCTTTTTCCACCTTATACTTTCTTTTTGTCTCTCTGTCTCTCTCTGCAAATCCATTTCTAACCTATACATACACACACATTTAGGAATGACAATGGGCCGGGATAGGGTCGGGAATGACAGTCCCTGTCCTCGATCTCCGAAGGTAAAAAAATCCCCGTC